ATTTAAAAAAAAAAAAAAAAAAAAAAAAAAAAAAAAAAAAAAAAAAAGGAAGAAAGAGAGAAAGAAAGAAAAGAGGGAAAAAAAAATCCCACCCACCCTCATCTGCTGCGGAATAAAAGAAATATCGGCGGGCGCGGCGCCATGTGAGCGGCGGGCCGGGGCCGGGCGGAGCAGCGCCGTGCCCCCGGGACGGCGGGGCGAGCCCCGGGCGGCGCTCGGAGCCGGCGGTATGGTGGAGAACCCCAGCCTGGCGGGCAGAACCGCCCCGGTGAGGGCCGAGCCGCGACGGGACGGACCGGAGGGGCTCCGGGGCCGCGGGGGAACGGGGTGGGGACGCCCCGATGGAAGCGAACGGGGCTCTCCAGTAGGACCGCGGGGGTGGTACCAGGAGTGGGGGTTCCCCGGTGGGAGAGGGCTCTTTTTGGGACTGAAAGGCAAGGACAGGGGTCCCCGCTCGGATGCGTCCCGAGGGGTACCGGGACGCGAGGATGAGGTGCCTCCTCCCCCCTCCTCACACCCCCAACCCCGTCTGCGGGCAAATTCGGGGCAGGGCCCCCGGACGGGTGGGGGCGAAGAGAGTGGGGTGCTTCCTCCTCCTCTTTCCGCTCCTCCGGTGGCGGTGCTGAGGCCGTGCCCTGTGCCCGCAGCCGGCCGCCCCGCCGCGGGGGCCCGGGGCGGCCGGGGGACTGCGCCTGGCGGCGGTGATGGAAAGCCTGCAGCGGCAGCAGGCGGCCCGTCTGGCCCGCGGCCCCGACGGCGCACCCCGACGGCCGCCGTTCGAAGCCGCTCCTGGTCCCGGCTCCGCTCTGCCGCCCGCCGCCCCCCGCCGCCGCCCGACGCTTGGCCCACGCCCGCTGGCCGCCGCAGCAGGGGAGGAGGAAGAGGAAGAGGAGGATGAGGAGGAGGAGGAGGAAGGGGAGCCCTGCGACCCGCCACCCCCGCCACACCACGAGTGGACCTACGAGGAGCAGTTCAAGCAGGTAGGAAGCATCTGCTGTGCCAGCTTCACCAGCCCCAGGCTGATCCCCAATGACTCCCCAATGCCCCTTAACTCCGATTCCAGCTTTCCCCAGATAGATGTCGCTTATACTCCCTTCTCCCCATCCCAGAGCTGATCTCCAGCCACCCCACTGCCCCCAAGTCCCATTCCAACTGTACCCAAGGAGACTTTTGCTATATCTCCCGTTGCCCCCAAGTCCCATTCCAACTGTACCCAAGGAGACTTTTGCTGTATCTCCCATTGCCCCCAAATATCATTTTTGTAACAGCCTCATTGGGACCCTCCCCGAATCCCCCTCTTTTTCCTCCAAACTGCATGCTGGACAAGTACAGCTAGTGCACCCCAGCACCCCTGTCCTGAATCACCATCCCTCCCAAGATGGGCACCCCATGAATGTTCCACACCTGCCATCCCTGCACCTTGTCTCTCCCCAACAAATATCCTGTTGAGCTCCCCATTTCCCACCACTGTATACTTTGTTGCTTCCCAAATGGGCTCTGCATACCCCCATCCCCACCACCAAGACCCATCCCAACCCACTCTGGCGTGCCTCACCTCCTTCGTCTCCCCAGACTTTGTGTCCCCTATGCCTTTCTCCCAGCTCCCTGTACTCTCCTCCAGCTCCACTGTGCTTGGACAGCCCCAGCCCCTTCTGCCCCATGGTGTTGGGAGGGTGCCCTGGGGACAGCAGGGTGCCCAGAATCTGGCACTTCCCTGTGCCCACCTGTGAGTTTCTGCAGGGACCTGGGAAGGTTATAGGGCCTGTGGGCTCTGAGGTGGAGAAAAGATCTCTGCGTTTAATTCCCACTTGTATATTCCCCCCTGCTGGGTTGCGCTACCCTCACTTTGCACAAGGCTCCTGCAGGGATGCAAGTGTGGGTTGCACAGCTCTGTCTCGGGTTTGCACATCCTGTGAACTCACTGGAGTCGTGGTGATGGTCATGGCAGGGATGGTGCACCAAGGGACAGAGCGGGCTGAGATGTCCCTGTGCAGAGGTGTATGGCTTTTTGTGGTAGTGCTGCCGGGGGGACAGATAAGCGTTCTTTATGTCCAGTGCTTAGGGACTTAGGGACACCCTCAGCCAGGAGGGGATGAGAATGGCTGCAGGGACCAGACTTTGTGTTCAGATATTGCACAGCTCATTA